AGTTATTAAAAAAGAAATCTGCAAAAAAAATTAAAAAAATCGCATTGTGGGGTGTGTAATAGAAAACATTTTATTCAACAAAAAAGTACGTTACATATAAGTGGTGTGAAGGTGTTTCCGAAGGGACTCGAGCCCGCAACCTCTCGCTTTTAAGGTGAGTGTCATACCGCTAGACCACAAAGACGTATTGTTATATTACAGATCCAAATAGAGTAAAAAACACACTCCTCACATAACTGAGCTATAAGCCCTCATATAGTGGGCTAGAGTGAACTCTCACTCGTCACACAGCGCAACATATTCACTCGGCGACGACATTGTATTTTTAGCATGGCGTAATTGAAATAATATAATAATTCATATTGAAATAATATACTTGTTCTCAAACAGGCGCCGATCCGGTTCCTGCCAAATTCGTTGTGATCCAAGATAATGTTGACCAGGAAACCCAGTTAGCATGTAGCCTTCGCCAAGTTACTCTTGATGCGGAGGTAGTGAGGCTGATCACGCCTTCATATGATGCTCTATTTTCCTCAAGTAATTTTCAGAGCAAGTACTTTTTCACCGTAGAGAACGCAAAGCCGGGGACATACGCTTGCCGAGTGATTAATGATACGGGATATGCGGACTCACCACAGTTATTCAGATTAAAAGGTAGGACTGATCTAAGACCCTCCGTCTGCTACACTACTACTACTACCGGTACTACTACTACTACTACTACTACTACTACTACTACTACGACTACTACTACTACTACTGCTACTACTACTACTACTACGACTACTACTACTACTACTGCTACTACTACTACTACTACTACTACTACTACTACTACTACTACTACTACTACTACTACTACTACTACTACTACTACTACTACTACTACTACTACTACTACTACTACTACTACTACTACTACTACTACCTAAAATCACCTTATTCTGCGAATTAGCGCCTCTCAACTGATCATCAAGCCCCACTTCATCTTCGAGCCCCTATCAGCACCCCCATTTACACTCCTAGATACGCCATTGACGACTACTACTACTACTACTACTACTACTACTACTTACTACTACTACTGCTGCTGCAGCTGCTGCTGCAGCTGCTGCTGCTACTGCTACTCATGCTACTACTACTGCCATCATTTTCATTATTTTTTCATCAACATTATCATTAACATTCCGGATTAATTTTTCCACAGATCCCCCTACTCCTACGATAGGTCCAGAAGAGATCGAAAATTCAAAGAGAATTCTTCGACTAGACCTGCATTATCAAAATTATACTGGAGACGGACCGGTAACGACCGTTTATCTTTTCTACCGCTTACAACAAGTTACAGAACGTGATTGGATTAAGGAGAGAATCAGCGTTGCCGATGTTGTCGGCGGGTTCACATTGACCTCTTTCATACCACACAAGACATACGAGTTCAAGACAAAGTTTGAACGTCCTGGCAAAGGAATTGGCAATTTCAGCGAAACTACAGTTATCACAATTAAGTGTTATCGTAAGCTTTCGTCATTAAATTTAATAGTAGGATAAATATCTTTAGAATTAAATATCACAATTTAAAATATTACTTTTATTATAACACTATTATCAATATTACTATTATTATTATTATTATTATTATTATTAAGATGATGATGATGATGGTGATGATGGTCATTATCATCGCCATCGTCATTAAAATTGCAATCATCATTATCACTCTTATCATCATCATCATTATCATCATCATCATCATCATCATCATCACCACCACCATCATCATCATCATCATCATTATGATTATCACCACCACCATCATCATCATCATCATCATCATCATCATCATCATCATCACCACCACCATCATCACCATCATCATCATTATCATCATCACCTTTAATCATGATCATCAACATCATCATTATCATCATCACCCTTAATCATAATCAGGATGATGATGATATCATCATCATTATGCTTATGATAATTACCGTGATCATCACCATAAGTAGTAGAAGTTGTAGTTGTATATTTTACTGATTATCACCGTTAATGTTAATTGTTATTATTAACACTATAGCTTGAGTAACATTATTATTACCATATCACATGTGACTTTTATTAGTTTAAATAAAACGTTTGATTATTCCTAGCTCCAAAAGACGTTCCACGGATTGTTAGTAGAAGAAGCCCGGATGAGCATACCATATATATAAAGTGGACTGTACGTACAAATAATCATACTATATAAATAATTTTAATATTTAAAATACATTATATGTGGACCTATAATAAAAATGAAACCTTTTAAATTTCCAACTTTTATTACAAATATTCACAATTGTCTTCTTAGCCAATTGTAAATAATGTAAATATATTAGCATCCGATAAATTGTTTTTAATCTCAAAAGTGATATATCTTGAACTAATCTACATTATGGTAAATCTAGAAATAGGATGCCACATAGGCCAATTGTGTAAAAGGTCATTGTCCACATTCAAGTTGGCTCCGAATCTGTCCTTTCTAATGATATAAAACATTTTATTGGTTTAATTTGTTTTTAGATGACGTCACCAACTGAGCCTCCAGACTATGATGGGTTTTATGTTACTTATGTACTGTCCGGAGACCCAGAAAATAGCAATACCCTTCATGTGGACCACCCAAATATCTTGGAAGCAAACATTACAGACTTAGTGCCGTATGAGCTTTACCTCGTTAAAGTTACAGCAGTCAATTGCAACTTAGAGGGCAGTGCTTCTCGGACGTACGACCAACGCGTTTCTCAGGGTCGTAAGTTATGTTTAAATTGCCTATGATATAAAATCAGTTAAAAAAAAAATTAAATAAATAGTATTATAATTAATAGCAGTTCATAGAGCATGGATAAATTCATTTAGTTTGAGAAATGAAAGTATTTTTAGTTAAATAAGTACGTAAAATATTTCTGAGTTTTTCAGGGCCGGAAGATTATTATTTACGTGATAAATAAGCCATTGATACTTAGTTACAGTAAAAAATTAAATAATTTCAAATTTGTTTATATTTTCAATAAGCTGCGTGTGTAAGTCATGTTTGAAAATACTTAAGCTACGAGCATTTTTAGACTATTTGAAAGATTGTTCCATGTTTTTGTTCCATGGAAACTTATACTTTTTTGCCCCTTTTTAGTTCTTTTAAATTTAGTAAAGTAAGTTAGTAATAGCATAACTGATGTTTGGTAATATAATGGTTGTGTATAATTAACATGATGATTTGATAGTCTGGAAACCTTTGTAGCAATCATATTGATATAATAATTGAATGATAGTGCCTCATCCAGGTATACCCTGGAAATTAGCAACAAATTTTCACATTATTAATACTTAATTCTAAAGAAGATAGATCAACTGGTTTGTTCTTTGAATTAATAATACTGTAATACTAATAATAATATTTTTTCTAATAATAATAATAATTGTAATATGGTAATAAAATTAATGTAAGTAAGTTTGTGTAATATTGGATCATTACGAAAGGAACAAAGGCTCAAAATAAAAAAAAGCCGTAATAATAATATCTAATATCAAATTTATTATTATTTATTATTATCATCATCATCATCTTCATTATGATTATCATTATTATTATTATTATTATATTATTATTTGTATAGGTGTAATTTATTTGTATAGGTGTAAATTACACCTATACATGTTTCTCCTGACGCAAATCCAGTTATTGTCTATTATTCCATCACGACAATAACAATTACTATATTATTATTATTATTATTGTCGTCGTCGTCGTCGTCGTCGTCGTCGTCGTCGTTGTCGTTGTCGTTGTTGTTGTTGTTGTTGTTGTTATTATTATTATTATTACAGCTTCTGGTCCAGTTGGAAACATTCGAGTTGTCAACAATGATGAGGGTGAACCATACATAACTGTAAGCTGGGAAAAACCTACAAATCCACATGGTATCATACAATCTTACAACGTTACAATAGTTCGAGTGACAGGAGGAGAAGAAGTGAGAACGAAGACAGTTCGTTTAACATATTGTAAGGTGAAAGTACGATGGTACACGGAATATATTGTATACGTGAGCGCATCAACGGAATCACCGAAGCCAGGACAGCCAGCTACAGATTTAATAACAACTCCACAGAGCTGTAAGTACAGCCCCTGAATATGGTAGGGCTACATGTTGTCATAATGATTACAGTTTCAACTTACATTTAATTATTGAATTTCTGTAATGAATTGATGAAAAGAATAATTTGAGATATATCTGACAAAAAAAAAAGACAAAGAGTTAAAAACTCAGCCTCCACCGGGAATCTGTACTGTAGACATTTTGCATAAATGTCGAACTACATACTACTTGACCACGAATGCGTCGAATGCGTTGTGGTGATTCTCATTGTGTGGTGATTCTAATTTATATACATAACTTAATAATAATAATAATAATAATAATAATAATAATAATAATAATAATAATAATAATAATAATAATAATAATGATAATGGGGGTACATAAAGCATAAATATAACTATAAAGTGAATAATATAATGTATAAAAATAAAAATCACATCATCACATTTAAAGAAGAACCAATTTTTGCAGCATGCAAAGTGAGCATAATGATGTATTTTCAAAATCATTATTTGACCTCAAATAAACTCTAACCTCTCCCAGACATTTAGAAAAGGGCTCTCCCACTGTTCGTACACTTTATAGATTAAACGCTGAAAATGTCATACTTCTGTCACAAAATACACGGTTTGACAATTTTTGGGATCCTCTAGCCCTTAGATTCGGAATTTAAAGAAAATAATTACATTTGTGGGCGAAGATTTATATATTCGCAATTATTATCTACAGATATTTAATGAAGAGAACAGAGACTTAATCTTCCTCCCATATTGGTATTTATTCCGTATTACAGAATCTACAGGTATCACCATCACAAAATCACAATCAGTATCACAAATCACAGACATGTTTCGGAAACCAATTTCCATCATCAACGTGAAGCTTGCTAGTTAGGTACACTTATTTACACCCTTGTATGTTAAATTTATGCTTATGTTTCTCATATGTTAAGAGAGTTAACAATGTATGCATAATAAAATTTACTAGATAAAACAATCAAATCCAGTGGTATGGTTTGTTTTCCCAACCTCGATGTCGGTTTTTAATCCGTCGCTGTGCATTTCGCTTGTGTCCTTGAGCAAGGCACTTTATCTGCATTGCTTCTCTCCACCCAGGAGTATGAGCGCTATATTAAATGCCATGACTATAACTATAACTACAACTATAACTACCTGGTGGGGTTGCTTGCTCCTGCGCTGAATACTGCTGCAACACTTAGCATGTGGATCCAATGACCAGGGACAGAAGCGCTTCGTATCTGCACTAAAGAAAGGGGCTATATAAATATATATGATTAGATTAGATGTTGCCAAGGTTGCAAATTAAACCACAAACAGCGTCATAAATCTACTGCCTCCCGCTGTTATTGTAGTATTATTTATAAAAATAATAATACATTATCACTGCTTGTCTAAATTCAAGTTCAAGCCCTTTTGCAAATTCAAATGTAAACATGTATTTATATATTTTCAATTGCTGTTATGTATGTTTCACTTAAGCTCCGACTGGTCCACCGGTTGAGATCAAATATGAAGTTACACAGAACTCTATTGATCTGTCTTGGGATCGTCCGATTGATGGCGAGGCAAATGGAGTAATTACACAATACGAGTCATACTTCTCTAAAATAAGGCAGCTAGTGGAAGATGCTGAAAGCGGTACTATCAAGGTCCCAAGTAATATTGAACACACTGGGCTGGAACCCGACACGCTGTATTATGTTAAAATTCGTGCGTATACTAGTGAAGGAAGGGGACCCTGGAGTGATGTCATCGAAGTGCGAACAGCTCCGATTACAAGTAAGTGAACATTTAAATACAGGATACGACCTCACTCTATATTGCTCTTGATGTTGAAGGCATTTAGATGAGATCATAATTATTCAGTGTCCATTAGATTTGTATTTTACTACATAAGTATCACACACACACACACACACACACACCCACACCCACACACAACCATGCATACACACACACACACATACATAAATACACACACACACACACACACACATATATATATATATATATACAGCCTATGCTGTTTAATTAGTCTTTAAGTGCTGTTTTGAGTCATTTCAATTGTAACCCTGAAGAGGGGAGCAGGCGCTCCCGAAAATTTGGTTTTTTAAAAATAAAATATATGCTTCAAAGTAGTCACCTTGTGAAGAATGTTATTTCTGTTCTGCTTTCTTATTTTATATATATATGTATATATATGCCTATATATGGCCTATATACCTTTCTTTGCTGATATACATATATCATAGCTCCCAACGAATGTTGTCCTATAAATACATTGTGTAATAAATGCGTTAGACATGATTTTAATCTGCGACCTCTCACTGTCAAGGCGAGCGTCATAACCATAGACCATAGAGGCCTCATGGTTGAACAGCTTCAAATAACCGTCAGGTACATTGGATTGCACATATGGATCCAACACACTTTTTTGCCCAACCCTTTTGAAATTTCAAAATGGCTGCCATCCTAGCTTACACAACACAATAACATATAATTTGACACCAAATTTAGCATTTTTCATCAAAGAGTAATGGAATTACATAACAAAATATTAAATTTTCGATGGTTTTTATGGCGGCCGTTCAAAATTTCAATTTTTAAAATGGCTGCCATCCTAGATTTATGAAACCATGTATATTGGCCCAATAACATATGTTTAAACACCAAATTTAGCATTTTTTATCAAAGAGAAGTGGAATTAGGCCTACATATTAAAATATTCGATTTTTGAGGATTTTTATGGCGGCCATCTTGAATTTCAAAATGGTTGACATCCTACCATTTTGAAACTATGTTTATTGTATTCAGAGAGCCCAAAAACATATGATTAGATCCAAATTTACCATTTTCAATAGAGGAGATGTGGAGTTATACTGAAATACAATTTTTGACCATTTTTAAGGCGCCCATCTTGAATTTCAATATTGCTGCCCTGTTAGGTTTTTGAAACCTGCTTCATTGGCTTTAGTGACCCTAATAACCAGATTTGTCCTTTTCATTGGATATATGTAAGGTTATGAGCCAACAGCTGAATTTTGGCGGCCATTTTTAAAACGGCTGCCAAAAATGTGTTCCGCCCTTTTTCTGGAGGTTCCCCGCTTGATTTTTTATTTATACCCTGAGATATAATGGGGGCTAATTGTCCTAACTGAGGTGTGAATTTCCCGAAAACGAGCTATATACTTTTGTGATATTTAGGGCAAAGGTGAAGGTCACGTGACATGACCTATATATCTCTTACTAGTCCGGACATCATCAGGTGCATATCACTGGAAAGAGAATCTTCTCTTCTATCCAACGGTACCAGAATTTCTCCAATACGTTGAGTTTTAAGAGAGATATAAGCAGTTGTCTGTCACAAGGTGAATCTTTTAGCCAAATTCCATGAAAATTTCAAATTGCTTTAACTCATCTGAAAATTCTGGCGCGGAGCCAAACATTTCACTGTGGGGTTATCCCAGGTAGACCCCCAACAGGCAAAAGGGGTCGGGCAAAAAAGTGTGTTGAATCCACATGGAAAGACTCATATATAAGTCATCAAGAAAGGTAAATACAATAAATGTCCGAATAAAGGACATGATGGTACATCCTGTAGCATAGCTCTCAACGAATGTTGTCCTATAAATACATTATGTAACAAGATAATCTGAGATTACAAACCCTCGCATGTATGCGCTATAACTTTATACAGTCGATGCGCTCGATCCGCTGGTTGGTGTATTATAGGGGTGTAATATTACCAGCTAAATACATAGGCCTATCTGGTGAAATGTGCCGAGCGGTAAAGGTGCATGTATTAAGTTAATCGAATGTGTGGGGTTTAAATCTAACTCTGGTTATTATTGATTTTTTTTTTATTGGGACAGCAAATTGTAAGATATAGGCCTATGGCCGAAAAATATTAAAAACATACTAAAATTTGCATCTACACCAAACGAGGCCTAGCACAGGCGTTAGATGGCCAGCCCATCAGTCGGGCTTACACACCTTCCTGGCTGCTTCCATTCCACCGGCCAGAATTTGACACATGGTCGGTTTGCTCAAGTCAGCCTGGTCTAGCCAATTGACTTGGTTGAACGATCCGCTCGAATTGGCTCTGTCAGTTGCGACCGAAAACTATATTAATAACGTTCTAAAATCTACATCTTATTTCTGAAGAGCACCAAATTCGAGGAGGGTCGAGATACATGTGGGATACATGTAATATTGTCAATGTGTGAAATTCGAAATACCAGTAG